GATCAAAAGCCATTCATCTATGTAGCATGGTCAATATCTGCTTGCGTGCTTCAGCAGATTGAAAAAAAAACTGAGTTCAGCTTAACACCTGTTGAGAGGTCCATCACGACTCTCTTGAAGCACAATAAAGTAAGAGACGTGATAAGTGCCTTATGTGATTGCGACAGAATTTTATCGTAAAGTACTTTATGTTATGTGACCACATTTGTCTTCCTCCGTTCCCCTTGATCCTGATGATGGACGTGTTCTATACATCCGGTAATCGGTGGGTCACTTTCATTCATCTCCTTCAACTTCATCTTCCATGGCCGCTTCTCCTTTCGGGTCGGACAGGCAGACGCATCAGACCGAGCTTCCAACGTTCCTGATCCTGTGCCACAGTCTGAGTTTCGGCTGAAGACAACTGGAGTCTGGAACAGACTCCTTCGATGTATCTACACCAGGTTTAAATTGACCGGCCCCTGTATTCGTCAGCCGTTATAGTGCTGCTACGCCCCCGGCTGGCAGAGAGTGATGAACAGATTCTGATCGCCGACTTTTCGCAGTCTTCCTCATTCCTCTATCAGCCTGTGCCACCCTTGGTAATCCGAGCGACGACCGAGCCGGTATAATTTTCGATGGCGTCAGTACCTTGAGTGGTATGTGGCGAACTTTACGGAGACTTCGCCACGGTCTCCAACCCTCCTCCTTTCTGAACCTGGCTTTGGACCGGCAGCGACGGAGTTTAGAGGAGGGGGGTCGGTTTCCTATAACACATATCCTTTCAGGTAGCGAATGCAGCACTGTTAGACATTGTCTCAAACTTTCCGGATCTTCGCCGGCGTTTGAGCTCGGCACACAATAACCTGAGCATGGAATAGAGTAATTCGAAGCAAGTAATCCAGGTTAGTCTTGTCCTTCTCCGAGATCTTTGGTCTGCATGGTCTTCGAAACGTCAGTTTCCACTGAAATTTATTGCCTCATTTGGCATCATAAACCATAGGAGCAAATTTTCTATCAGTTCGAGCCTATAAATGTCTACGAGATTACCGGAGAAAATTTTCTTCATGAATGCGTAGAAACTTGCTTCTTCCTCAATTTCAAGTTTGTTGTACGTCATATTTGAGCGCAAGGTGGCTATAGTGGGCAAAATATTGCGAGATGCATCCGCGACAGGCACTCAAATTCCATAGAGTTGTAGCCTACTGAAATGGGCTTATTAGCAACTGTAAGCAAAGGGGTGATCCCTCCAAAGCAGTACTCTGTGACATGTGATGTTTAAGAATTTATGCGTAAAGTGTATGCATTACCGCAATTATGTTGAACCTTCATATGTATACTGCTAGATTATGCAGTATTGTGTATACTGCTTTGTTTATAGTATAGTACCGCATTATAGAAATTGGTTTCATAAGAGTAAGCATATCTGGCTCGAGGCTTCGAACGATGGTCACAGTCGTATCTTTAATAACTATGAGAGATCACTGCAACAAAAGCTCATCACAGAATTATGAACGAAGTGACTGACTTTACGGCGATTACCAACTTTATGTTCTGCTTTTATACCGTCCAGTAGTGCGACGTGTTCTAAATATAAATTATTTACCTAACTTGTATTGTTTTTAGATTTAGTCCAAGCGACAGCGATGCTTACTGACAACACGTTTTCTTCTGTGTTTAAAAGGGAGGATTATTCAGGTATGTGTTACAGTTTGTACCAGTCATGCATTTACCGTAACTTTGAACTGGAACTGAGCTTCACCCTAGACGTCAGTTTGTGAAGGTAGAATTTATATCAGTATAACCTTGCGTTGTCATGCTAATGCTTCCCGAAAGGGATGCGAAGTAACTATTACTTGCTCAGGTTAGCTTCAGCGGGAGCTCAAACGCTGGCACAGGATCGAGGGATTGAATGACTGATCTGCCTCGTGGTCGTCGAAACCGACCGACTGACTGACTGGCTGGCTGACTGACTGACTAACTAATTGATTAATTAACTAATTAACTGACTGAAATCTAACAGT